CTGCTCTGAAATCGCACCCGGTGAGACATTGGAAATTGTCTTTTTCTCATGAGAAGCTAATTTAGTTTGAAGCTCTTCAAGATATCTATAACTGGCATGTTAGATATCTTACAGATGGGAAACGTGATTTATAGACTTACCGTCGCGTTATAATGACCTTTTCTGATTCCTCGTCAAATTGGCATTGCAACCCTCTCTTATTGCATTGCTCGCAAGGATGTGAGCCAGAACACTTGATTTTTTGATCGTGACATCTTTTGCATCTTTCGCTGGCAGATTAGTTATTACAATCATTCTTGAGCCAGAGGAAAGCTCACGCCTTTAGAATCCGTCTTCTATCTCGGTGCTGCCGTTCAACACCACGCCTTGTGGACATCACTATTTACCTGGTATGGAATCACACGCGTAGGCTAGTCAATTTTAATGAAGGAAAGATGTGAGGGATGCTGTTGGAAAGTCACGCTGTATCAATACCCACACTCGTTGTATACTCCTCCTCGACGATTGGGCCAGTCTGTGATAACGATCTGGTCTAAACCTTTCCATGCGCGTGGTAACAACTGCATAAAGTGCGGTCCATCTCCTGAGACACGGTCAGAGCTCCTCGGATATACCCCTATACTATTCAACCGCAGTCTATAGGTCTCTAATGAGTCGGGTATTAGGAATGACCCTTCCGGTTGTTACTCTGGTATTTCTCCTAATCTTGTTGCTTGACGACAGGAAACCCCGCGATAAGTTACGTCACGTGCAAAGCTACGGCTTCTGGAACTGTAGCGCGTAAACGATTCCATTTTGGTAAGATTAGCAAGGGTAACTGATTGGTCTGGATTTTAATTGCCGAAAGAAATCCTCAATTAAGAATCAAAAGAGGAAAGGCATTCCTAGAATCTCTAGAAGCTACCTAGGACCTAGGTTCAGATAGAAATGAATCATGAATGGTGTTTCGGATATTAGTCAGGCAATTCTTCCATGTCACGTGCTGGAATGTCGGGGCTTGACCACAATTAGAAATGGGTCATGTGATCTGCATGGGGATATTTTCAAAGCTTGGTTACTCACGTGATATAACGTAAGACAAGAATTAGGAAGAATCAATCGTTTGTGAGATCAGATCCTTCATCAATACTCTAGTGATCGCTCCTGTAGTCACTTTCAACAGGATATTGAAATGGAGACGATCTACTATATCCTTCTCGGCTTGGTTGCCTTGTTCATCATAGGGCCGGTACGTGATTACTAAACTACCTCGTCACTTGTCGCGTGCTAACGTTTGCTGGTCATGAAGACACTGTTTGCGGACCGGTCACCAATCCCCGAAACCTCGGGTAACGTCCTGAAAATAACCGATGCTTCGGAACTGGATGCGCTTCTCAAGTCTACTACTCACGTAGTAGTCGACTTCTACGCTGATTGGTGTCCGCCCTGTCGCGCTATCGCGCCTATCTTCTCAAAGCTGGCCGACGACCACGCTTCAAAGGGTCGTCTCGCTTTCGCCAAGGTGAATGTTGACCATGTCAGCAATGTTGCTGGGCGATATGGGATCTCTGCTATGCCGACTTTCATGTTCTTCGAGAATGGCGCGCCTGGTGGGGTGGCCGTGGAAGGACTCAAAGGCCGTCAATCTGTCAACCTTACTGCTGATGGGCTAGTTGATAAGGTTCGTGGTGCGGATAAAGGGGCTCTCGAAGCCGTGGTACTTGCCTTGGCTGGTAAATGAGAAAATGCTATGGGATGAGAGTCAAGCGGGATGACGAGGAATACTACCCAGATACAAACTAAGACTAGTATTCGCAAAACGGACGATTGTAATGTCGATTTAAGTATCGTATTAGACTTCTACTAATGGTCTGTCACTGATGTATCGTAGGCGAAAGTAACTCGTGAGCACTCAATGCAATTTCGCCTGCGAGTATGTATAGCAACTTGACAAGAATATGTGACGTTAGGAGTTATCAACAGGAAATATCATCTGGAATGAATCGCTGCTGCTTGACTGATACGGTTTTCAGTGACCGAGAAGCCAGCTTTTGGAGGTCTAATATTTTTATATAAACCAGGCGTTCTTCTCCCAAAGTTCTCTTCTCCTTCCACACCATCGCAAAGCGAACAATTCACTTCCTCACCAACCGGCAATCAACAGCGCAGCAAAAGCCTCAACTTCTTCAGAAGCTACCGAGAACTACAACAGAACCAACTTAACTTGGTGCTTTTCTTTTGCGTATCCCACGAGGACAGCTCCTATCAACACCAAAGTTTTATCGACAGTCTTAGAACATCGAAAATGGGTTCGCGCAGACAAAGTTTCAGCACGATCGGAAGGGAGGCCGAACGGGACCAAAGGAACCCGAACAGAATTGATGACTGGGTGAACGGCACGGACAGCACCGTATCCGGGAACGCCGCGCGAAGCGATGTGCGCTCCCGCGCTCCTCCCGCGTCGACAGTGTACCCCCATTCTTCCGTGTCTGGCTCGCACGGCGGGTCTCGAGCTGGATATAGCGCTCATCATCCGGGGTCGCACTGTCACTCGCACTTACACTCGCACTCGCACTCGCAGGGCCCTCGCACACCGAGCCGTTCCGGTCTTTCATCTTCGTTTTCTAGCCCAATATCATTCTCGATGGCTAATAGCCCCCACCGGTGTGGTGGGCGATACCCGCCTCCGGCATCTAGTTCTTACAGCCAAGCCATGGCCGCGGCCCGAACTCCTGCGTCTCGTGCGCCGACTACACCTTCGAGAATGAGCTCAATCACGCCATCGTACGCATCTGGCCCAGGTCTATCGCGCCGATCATCGGTATCTGGCGCTTCGCGTGCATCGGGCGCACCATCTTACCTATCTGGAGCCTCGCGCGCCACTGGTTCGACTATGACTCCTGGTGCCTCGCGTACCGGAGGCAACCAGCTCACCCATATTCCTCGCGGCTCCGAGCCGGGTAGCTACCTTCACTCGGACATCTCGCGTAACAGTGATTTCCCAGGTTCTGACGTCCGATCCCCTTACCTCCTCCAGGATGGCGAGGTGATGAAGTCCTTTGCTTCTGTTGAGAGGACTGTCAAGGAGGATGGCGAGGAGATCATCCACAGGCGACTAATCGAAGTCACCCTAGAGCCTTAAGTAACCGAGCCTCAGGCTGGGGCACCGGTGTCCGCATTTTACTGGATCATCTGAACCCGACGTGGAAGCGAATAGGGAGGAGTGGAAATTTGCTGGGACTAGGTTGTTTAGTGAGGATGCTGGCTTTGGATTGTGGATTTTGGTCTTGGGTTTATGGCTTATGATACGAATGACGACATTTCTTAGCAGATAACTAGGCAGAGACTTTCGTTAGGAATTTACTTTGATTTATCAGATTGGAGTGGAACTTATACCTACCTGATATATTAGCGCGTGACGGGAAACCTCCCATTTTGCTTGAATGAGTCATCTTATGTCCGTGACGATCCCATGGACCGTATTACCTGCACAACTCAAATTCGACTTCAACTTCGTCCTCAATTGTTTCGCATCGTGCTATCGCCTCTGCTATTAACTCCTTTTTCAACCTAGGTTCAATTATGTAATCGGGACCTTCTAAATTGACCTCGGGTAGGCTCGCTAGAGCCTCTTGGACGTCGAAACCATCGCTTGTTGCGGTGGCATGAATATCATGCCATGACCACCATTCACTAGCGACTTTAGCTAACTTTCCTTGCTGGTCACCTACGACGACGACATGTACGTTGTGTCGCTTCCTCGCCGCACGGGCCATATTTTTGAAGTCACTGTCATCTGAAATAATGATCAGGGTAAGGCCCGAATTCTTCGCGAGTCTTGAATATCGAAGTCTAAGTGCCATGTCGGCGGCATTGTGTGTGCTTTTGACCATTTGAATTGATACACCAACCCTCCTCAAGCTCCTGAGGAGCGTAGGCGCCTTCTTGGGGCGCATGCTGGCACTGGCCTCTCGGAGTCTCTGAAGGCTTTTTCCATGAAGAGCTAGCCACTTTCCCCTTTTACTCTTTTTCGTCGCGCGCAGCCTGTTTTCTTTCTTGCGAAGTTCCCTCTTGTGCTCCTTATAATGATTCTGTAGTTTGACCTCCGTCCTGACCTGCTTTCCGCATACGGAACAATTGACTGGCCCGCTAGATTTCTTGTAGGACCTTCCTCGCTTTTCTCGCGCTTGAGCCGCTATCACGTTCTTGTGCGTAGCTTTAACGGTTATGTAGGTATGAAAATTTGCCATAGCCGTATAATCGATGATCTTGCCCCGCTCACTAGCTAAAGAACGGATAACAAGTGCGATATTCTGTGGTAGAGTTTTGGGAGCTTTATTGTCGAGATCCCATAATATAGCTACCGTTTTCTCGGGTTCCTTTGTTTCCGCTTGGGTCGTTGGATTATTCCCGATGGTTGTCGGCACGGAGAGGTGTTCCTCTGTCTTTTCCTCTAAAGAAATATCTGGAGTAGCGGCTTTCTCTTCTGCAAACTGTGTCACGCTCGAAAATGAACAAGCGTTTGGATCGAAGCGTGTGAGGCGATCTAAGGTAGGTCGAACACTACATCGATATACTAATCTCATTTGTTGGTGGCCATGATGCTGAAAAAGTCTCAGGAGCTGGGGGGGAAACGGACGTAGCCTCATAGCCGACATTTAGAGAAAATGTGGAATGAGAGGGAGGGAAATATATACTCATGTATTTTTCTGGCATGAGTGCTACACCTTCAGCCTTTTGATTAAGTTGCATTTGTGCTTATACCTATTTCATGTGTCCTGGATGTAGATATGGAGAGGTGGAGAGTTTTTAACTTTTTTTTTTCCAAAACAGTGGACCCTTGACGTGACGTGGGGCAGATTATTAAGCAGAAAAAGGAAAGTCGAAGCCGCTGTCGCTGAACAGCCGCTCCTGCTTTTTTTTTTTTCCACGAAGCTTCTACTTAATAAAGTAGCATGAACAACTTTGAAAAATAAAAAAAATAAAGAATAACCAGTTTACTGGTTATAACCAACGATTCATGATTGCGGTGGGACTCGAACCCACGAGGATTGCTCCACTGCGAAATTACTGTATAGTATTCAAGTTTCTACCTGAACGCAGCGCCATAACCACTCGGCCACACAACCTGTGATGTGCTGTAGGATGACAAAAACCCTACTAACCACACACTATATAGATAGTGCATTTAGGCTGTTCTTACATCGACCGGCTGCGGGAATTCTTACATCCATAGTGGGAGGAAATTACCTAGGATACCTAAATTTTCCTGCAAAAAGGTGGGGTTGATCATTACCAGGTTACGGCATCATACTGCCTGAGAGTTATACTAAGATATGCCTGAAATATATTAGCGATGAGATGGACATTAATTCATTGGGGTCTAACCTTACTTAGTAGTTAGAACATAAAGTGCTTACTCATTCATGCTTATCTAATCAGACAATTGCCAAGCTACTTTTCCTTTCCCTGTCTTCTTTTCCTCCTTTCCTCCATTTCTTCCACAGTTAATAATTGAAGATGAATGGAAATAGGGACGCCACTAGGACTGTCTTCCGATTCTTAGGTAACCTTGCTTGACTTATGATCATCAGCTGTATCCAGGCAAGATTTGGCAATCCTCCACAAAAGCTAGAATGAAATTGCTGACATAATATTGCTAGCATGATCCTGCTTACATAAGGGATCTGGCAAATTGATGATGTAATGAACTATCAATTTACATCTATTAGCTGCCGACAATTTTTTTGAAACAGCATTTCTAACTATTCAATTTCCTGTGATACTTTTCTCTGAAGCTGAACGCACAATTCCCCTAACGCTGTACTCTAGTCTTTTGATATCTGGACTCCGAGAATGCCATAAGAAATGATCTTAATCCTGGCGCACCTAATGGATACAGCAGGTGGAACTCAATATACTCAAGAGCCATCGGTCACAATGCCACCTTATGACCCAAGATCTGTATCTATACTAATCTAACCTACGATGTTCAAGTACTGTCGGTGGCTGGTTTTGGAAAAATGGCAACGAAGCGGAATTTAAGTTTGCAACTAGTCGATAATCCATTTATTAAGAAGCGGAACTTAGGATGGACTGTAGATGCTTCGTATCCCCCACAAGAAAGTGACGGAAGTTTTGAAGAATCGCATGGTAGTAAACCTAGCTTAGCGGAAAAGGACCGAGATGCGTCTGCAGTCGAGGCGGGCAAGGTAAAAATTAATGATCATTTGGACTATTTCAACGAACTTCTAACGAAAGCCACACTCTCGCCTTTTCCTCCCGATACACCAAGGTTATCAATTGGCAACTACAAAAGGTTATATGAGGAAAACTCAAATAGCCCAAGAGGTGCACATTTCATCGTGCATCAACATGATCATCCCATCGCGGGGACGCATTACGATCTCCGATTGCAGATCAACGACACGAGCAGCGCGTCATGGGCGATTATGTACGGGCCCCCCGGTGATCCCAACAGTCGATGCTTAAATAGGAACGCTACAGAAACGAGGATCCACTGCTTATGGGTAAGGCAATACCCGTACATAGACAATTCATTACGTGATGAACTCGCCAAGGCTGATCCACCTACAGAACCATCTCATAGAAACGGCATCAGTGTCAACTGGCTCGCTCCTCATCTGGGACACAGGAACATACACCGTTCTCCCACCACGCGGGAGCAAGAGACTAGAAAACTCTCACTCACAATCGAGCGAAGATGATGCGACATCCGAGTTGACAGAACAGGAGAAACTCCACCAAGCATTCCAGACGCGCAAGATCCGCCTTCGACTCAATGGCACACGGCTTCCACCTAATTACGTGCTGAACCTACGTCTTACCAAGGAGGAAGACGTCGCCGGCCGGATAAAGAGCACACGCGCCTACGCGACGACGAAGGCGAGATGCTTCGTCATCATGGGGAAGGGGTAAAGGAGCTGTGACAGGCAAGGCAGCAGAACCTGACACTAGCTCAGATCCCGATTCAGATGTCGACGAGTCAGAAATTGTGAATGCGCCGGTTGAACAAGCTGAGGCGGGCAATGGAGGGATCTCGCCGATGGAGCGCGAGATTCGCGAGCTTGAGGACGAGGAGGTGCGACGCACGAATGCGTACCCGGGTGCGGTTAACTTGATTGGGAGTGTACACCAGCGGCGCTGGCACCTTTCGCTTGATAGGGAAGCATGTGGGTTCACCCGGAAACGAAAAGATGGGTGCGTATTCTGGGAGTTGGATCGCGGTGAGCATCCTACAAAAGAGAAGGAGGGTGATGATGAGGTGGGAAATAATGGAAGACTCGCCTTCCCATTTCATGTCCGTGGAGTTGACGTGGAAAGCAGTGTTGTGACTGGTCGAAAGGGCGCCGATGTGCCAAGAGATGAGGGTGTAGAGGGGTATGTAGGACGGAAAGGTTGGCGCCCGGTATTGAATTGAACTGAACCTCGTTCCACACGATTATTCCACAACCTAGTGTTACTCAGGAGCAATACGACATTACTTCGAGAACGACCCTATTATTCCTTCAGATCGTTACTCTCAGCTACATATAACCACGAACGCAACTATTGATTAGGCGTAATTGGTGAGTGCTTTCAAAGATAATCTGTGGTCGATCTACGGAAAAGTAATGTGGTTATTGCTAAAAGTGAAATTTCTCTTCGATAGTCCAGTCACCTAATGTCCAAGTCCAGAAACCGTGGTCATGACATCCGAGTTACCATCCTCCCAGCTAAGGACAGCTGTGTGCTTGGAAATCCTCCAAGGATTCTCGCCCCTTTTATCCAGCTCAGGCAACCTCACAAGATCAAGGACATATCGGCCCTGGTGTTTAAGTCAGAGTTAGCCAACATGGGAAAATGTAAGGCGACAATGAGGCGCGGGTATTGAAAATTTCTCACCCCATTATGCATCATGGGTCCGCCGCGGGCAGCTCGGCGAAATAAATGGCCGTTAACGTTAGCGATGACTCTGCACTTGTCTGGCTTAGCGACTCCATTGACAGGCTGCGGAAGCTCGATCAGAACGCTCCTGTATACCGACGTTAACCTAACCTCCAATATTATCGAATGGCAATGCCTGGAGGACGACGTACGTGACTAAGTGCTGCTTTCCGTCAAACGACTCCATCATAGGATCTAAATCATCTGCCCATTTCTCGTTCGTCGTTTCAACGGGGCTCCCGCCGAGCATGGACGTATAGTCGATGGTCACCTGCGGGGCATATACGTCTTTGATAAGGCCTTCTCGTGACTCGAGGTCGAGGTTTATCCCCTAATTAGGAAACGCTCAGTTAGCCCCTTTCGTGGTACAGCTGTAACCGGACACCAGGAAGATTCGGAGAAAATGCGCACCAGTCGAGTGACGGTGTCGTGGACATTCGCTCTGTCCAGCAGGTATGCCAAGGTATCGTAAGGAACGGCCATTTTCACTTAATTTGCTTGAAGTTAAGCTTTAATGTTCTTGGTGGGATGGTCGTCGAATATTTGCTAGTTACTCAATTGGTGACTTGCGTCGACGACCACGGAATGATCGTTACGGGTGCGAATAGCTTCATTATATAATTGGTGTAACATGATATACTCTATGTCAGATAACAAGACTTTCCCATTAATTTACGTACAAAATTCCCTTGATACCTTGCTAGGAGGCACACTTCATTCGGGATACGGTACGATCCAGTTTTCCTCAGTGGGTATGGGAGTTTTGGGGTCTGTAACCCCGTAACTATTCACCAGGAGTCTTATTCAGACGATCGCCTGTTCGCGTAGATCCGCTAAAGCCGACGTAAGCCCGAGACGTCGAGTAAGACTCGGGACCGGCTCAATTGTTGTCATCTTGAATTACGGAACAGAGACTTTACCTTAAATTTTAGTGATTAAATCTTCACATATTAGCTAATGAATCACTCGATTATTTCATCAAAGGATGGCCAAATTTGGCCGTCGCCGGAAGTACCTATGTACCTTCCAAGTCCCTTACATGCTCGTCTTTGTATAAGAGAATCTCAAAGCGACGGTTGGAACGACGTCATATTCCATCAAACGCCTACATCAATCCACTAGCATTAATATTTCCGAATAGCTTCTTAAGACTTCGAGATTCCACTCGCACTAAAAATCATGTCTGCATCAAACGGCGCGGTCCTGCTGCTCGGCGGCACCGGCAAAGTGGGGAGCCGCATCGCGCCTCTCCTCAAAGACGCCAACGTCCCAACCCTCGTCGCATCTCGCTCCGGGAAATCTTCCGCCGGCCTGACGGGCGTCAAGTTCGACTGGGACGACGAGTCGACGTGGGAGGCCGTCTTCGCGAACGCCGCGACCCCCATCAGGGCCGTTTTCCTAGTCGCGCCCCTCAGCTCTAACCCCGGACCCGCCATGAAGAAATTCATCGACTTCGCTATTCCCAAGGGAGTGAAGCGCTTCGTGCTCCTTAGTGCTAGTTCGATTCCTGAGGGAGGTCCCTGGATGGGCAGCACGCACACATACATGCGTGAGCTGGGAGACCAGGGGAAGACCGAGTGGGCTGTATTGAGGCCGACTTGGTTTCAGCGTGAGTAATTCTTAGCTAAATTTCTTTGATACTCATTTTCGAGAAAAGGGATGAAATCATGGTCGCGAGGGGTAAGGGTTAGGGTCTCTTGTGTCACCACCAAATGTTACACAGAAAATCCTAACCCTTACAACCCTTACCCCTATTTTTGTAGCAAGCATGACTAATCTATATCTATCCTTCAGAAAACTTCTCCGAAGGTGCCCACGGGCTCATATTGAAATCGGAGGGCAAGCTCTACTCCGCCACGGGCGACGGAAAACTCCCATTTGTCAACGCGGAGGATATCGCCGCCGTGGGCTTCCACGCGCTGACGTCGCCTCAACCACCCAACACCGATTACGTAATCTTGGGTCCGGAACTGCTCTCGTATTCTGATGTAGGTCCTGTTTGCACTGAACCCATCTAATCATCTATAGCGCATTTTCTTTACTGTTCATTTTGTTTCTACCCCTTCAGCTCCCTAAGTCTCCTCCTTTTCTCCTCCATACTCACGCACTCATCCCTTAACTTATCCCTGACTCACATCCCCCTCAAAACAGGTCGCAGCTATCTTCTCCGCGGTCCTAAACC